TGACAATTATGCCACCGAGAATTGGAAAAACCTTAAGAATAGTAACAGCTTCAATTTGCCCTGTTTACGGGCGCAGATGGACGTTTTCTCCCTGTCATTTATGCCGATGAGTTTGTTCAGGCTTCTGTTGCGTGAATGTAATATCAGTGCTTAATTAGTGGGCACTACAACTTGTTAAAGCAGAACATCGACAGCAACGACGATATATGATGAAAAGCAATGATGAAAGTGAAACCGTAAAACAAGAAACAGAAACAATTGTGCATTTTTGGCTGTAGTCTAACGAAGACACTGGCAGTCCTAGAATGGTCGCATTTTACAAATATAAGAAAGCGCCTTTCGATAGTTTCTATTCTACAGTTTACTATATATATATATATAATAATATATATATATATATATATATATATAGCTCTTGATATATATATATATATATATATTATATATATTATATATATATACTTTCGAGAAACAAATTATCATGCTCGTGGATTGGCTGGCGTGCCTAACCTAGCATTACGGTGGTTTAGGCAGACGCGGTGATTTCACCTCTGCAGGCGAAGCGGGCATTTGTGTAGGAGAAACATTTTGCTGTCGTCCTTAACAGGACGCTCAGTCGGCGGCCTCTGATGCACATGGACAACAATCTGAGAGCAATTACGATAAGACGCCCCAGTAACAAACACCCACAATCGCAGCGCAACAGAGCACGCGAGCACGCGCGCCCAACGGAGGAAACCCATAGAAGATCTAAGCACGCTTTCGTCTCTCTCCTCTCTCTCTTTCTTTCTTTCTTCCGCCCCTCTCTCTTTCCCTATTTCTCTCACTCTCTTCTCTTTCTCGACCCCCCCCCCGCTCTCTCTCTCTCGCGCGCTAGCAACGCTCTCTGCTTCCCATGCTTTCTCATCCCTCTCTCTGCTCTCTTACCACTCTCTCTCTCCCTCCTCCTCCCGCTCCTCCACTTCTTTCACGTTAGTATCGATTTCAAAAACCGCGCGCCGCGACCATGCTTTGAATTTTAATTTCCAGCAGACGTCTGCGGTCGCTGAATTGCAACATTTTAACACGCTAGAAAGAATTCGTCTCGCAGAAAACACGTGTTGGCTGAAGCGCTTGGCCGGCGCGGATTTGGATTAGCGTAAACAGAGTGTATACTCGTCTAATTAGGTGAATTCGACTTGCCGTAAGGACATAAAAACGCTCGTCGCTGTAAATCACGTACGCCACTTTACTTACAGCTTTCTGAAATCCCTAATGTGGGCTGTGTGCGTTCGTTCGTTCGTTCGTTCGTGCGTGCGTGTTGCGTTGCTGTGCGTGCATGCGTGCCATGCGTTGGCGTAGCGAGTGCAGTACTAAAAACACCCGTTAATTTAGAACAATTGATCGTTTTTACTTCATTTAGCAGAAATCAATTTTAATCAAATATTCAGTCAACAAAATAACATAGCCCGCTCACCCCACCGCTTCCCTTGATCTCTTTCTCACACGCTCTCGCCAATATGCCACCACCTCTTACACATGCTAATGAAATGCGTAATGGTCATACACCTAAAACATCGAAGTTACACTGGATATTGACATAAACCACTGCCTTCTATCACACACCTCCTCGACTATGCCGACCGCTCTCACATTTTCGCAAACCGATCGCTCGCTAATGCTGTCACTTTCCAGCATCAACCCTCCGGCATGCGACTCTCACGCCATATCTCCGTGGGTTAGCGCGGGGGTTTTATAAGAGCGGAGAGTAGAGTTGTGCTTTCCTGTCATTATGTCACTCCACGCATTAATATCATTAATTGGTAACTGCCACCGCTTGCTGCTGGCCGCCAATATTTATCCCAAGTATATGATTAGTTTCAGACAATCTGCGGGCCTGGCCTCGAACGATGACAGGAACGTGTATATTTAATATATGCGTGCAGTGCGATGCCGTGTTTATGCAAATGCTAGCATGGATGTAAAATAAATTGGCAAGCCGCGCTGGCTGCTGCTGTTGTGAAACCCATTCAATTTAACACATGCCGAGAAAACTTGCAATTCCACCACGCGCAGCGCGCGCAGTTCTCGTCAGGCTTACTGCTAAGCATAACATCAGCAGATTACAGTCTACATCGTGTTACTGCGTCCTGTCTGCTACTGCTCTGCGCTGATCTAGCTGCGCCTGCTGCTGCTGCTACTGTCCGCGTGCTGCTGGCTGGCTACTGTCGCCGCTGCTGCCCCCGGCTGCTTGCCGCTGCTTTGCTGCTGCTGCTGCTGCCGCTGCTCTGGCCTGCTGCTGCTGCTGTTGCGCTGTCTGACTGCTCCTACGATTGCTGGCTTAATTGATAACGCCTGAATTTCGGGTAAGGCGCTCTTGTACAGAGGTGTTGACACGTGTGATGTTACAGGTCGCTGTGTGTGGGCGTGCTATTAGTAGACTGTACATGGTGTGTCAATTATTTTTGCGAGGGCGGAGGCATTGATTATTTCATGCGGGCTATGCGACCTAAGACCCATATATTTAAGCCAATTGAGGCTGGTTTAAAAGCGCAAAATTAATTATTCAAACTACGAAATCTGTCGATTGCGCTATGGCAAATAAGGAGCAGTAAGTTATTCATTGGTTGAAACACGGGGTAGGCAGGAAAAAGAAGAAGCATAAAACACGAGGAGATAAGTAACACGCTTTACGAGAAGAAGTTAATCACGCGTGGGAGAAGGTTACACGCGGCGGGAGAAGGTTAACCCACACTGGGAGAAGGTTAACACGCGGGGAGAAGGTTAACACGCGGGGAGAAGGTTAACACACGGGGAGAAGGTTAACACACGGGGAGAAGGGTTAACACACGGGAAGAAGGTTAACACACGGGGAGAAGGTTAACACACGGGAAGAAGGTTTAACACACGGGGAGAAGGTTAACACACGGGAAGAAGGTTAACACACGGGGAGAAGGTTAACACGGGGAGAAGGTTAACACACGGAGGAGAGAATGGTTAACACGCGGGGGAGAAAGGTTAAACACAGCGGGGAGAGAGGGCTAAAACACACGGGAAGAAGTTTAACACTAGCGAGGAGAGGTAACACACGGGAAGAAGGTTAACACACGGGGAGAAGGTTAAGTAACCTACACGGGAAGAATGGTTAACACAAAGCCAGAAGTGTTAACACACAGGAGAGGTTAAGCAGGAACGGAGAAGAAGGTTTAACCCACGACGGGAAGAAAGGTTTAAACACACGGGCAGAAGATTAACACACGGGAGAAGGGTATACACAAAGCAGAAGGGTTAACAGCACGAGGAGAAAAGAAGAGTTAACAACACGGGGGGGGTAAGCTACACCGGGGAGAAGGTTAACACACGGGGAGAAGGTTAACACACGGGGAGAAGGTTAACACACGGGGAGAAGGTTAACACACTCAGAAGGCAAACGGGAAAAGGAAGATTAACAACACGGGAAGAAGGTTAAACACCACGGGGAGAAGGTTAACACAACGGGAAGAAAGGTCTAACAGCAGGGGGGGGCGAGCTAGGTTACACACCGGGCAAGAATGTAACACACGGGGAGAAGGTTAACACACGGGAAGAAGAGTGGCACACAGTGCTTTCAAGCGCAGAACCGACGAGCGTAAAAGCAATTTGTAGTGATTGCGACATTATTGCATGAATGCCGGCTGCGCGCAATGCTCGCACATTTATCCATATTGATTCACTTGCACATTACATATGGACTACTCCGCACAAATAACTGCCGCACAAACAGCCTTGCTTTGCGCACGCACACACAAGCACGCGCACACGCCACCTCAGCCAGTGCCGTAGCTAGGATTTTTCCAGCGGCGGGGGGGGGGGGTGGCACTGAGGGGGCGCTTACATTTTCGTGGGGGGGGGGCACAATAATATAACTTTTTTTGGTTATTATTACTGTCTAAGACGGCATGTTTTTATATTTCAATTTATTTTTTTATCAAGCATAAAATTTCAAGTGGGGGGGGGCCCAATACCTTGGGGGGGCGGGGGGCACACAAAAATTGTGGGAGGGGCACCGTAACTTGCCGCGCCATGGCCGCCCGCGTAGCTACGGCCCGCTGCACCTCACACACTCTCCATATCTTCTCCCTTCCCTCAGCCTCAGTCCACGATAAATTGGTTATAAGTATAACCCGTATTAGATTGCTCACAATTAAGTACCCCCTCGGCAATCCATCAATCACACATACGCGACCAATTGCACTCCCTCACGCACGAACGCACGCACGAACGCACTCACACACACGCACACATATATCGTTTCATATAATAATATATATATATATATTATATATAATCAATTATATAGCACAGT